TTACCGATATTACATCAACTTGATTAGGGTTTACTGATGTTAGGTCGACATGGTTTTTCACAACTTGCTTATAATGGTGTTTACCGATATTACATCAACTTGATTAGGGTTTACTGAACACCATCTTTTCACAACTTGCTTATAATGGTGTTTACCGATATTAGATCAACATGGTTAGTGTTTACTGAACACCATCTTTTCACAACTTGCTTATAATGGTGTTTACCGATATTACATCAACTTGATTAGGGTTTACTTATGTTAGATCGCCATGGTTTTTCACAACTTGCTTATAGTGGTATTTACCGATATTAGATCAACTTGATTAGGGTTTACTGATGTTAGATCGACATGGTTAGTGTTTACTGACGTCCCTTTTTCACAACTAGCTTATAATAGTCTTTATCGACAGAGGGTTTTTTATAATACGCTTATGATGGTGTTTATTGGTAATAATTCAACATTCTTAGAGTAAAATGTGCTAATAAAATTTTACTTAACAAACGTTTTGTGGATGATTGAGCTAAGATGAGATAAAAAAAAAAAGATTGAATGACTTGAACCCAATCAATAAGATGTCATATCATAGATCATTTATAGGTACTCCAACGTTATGCCAACACATCTATAAATTGAGCGAGTTAAACCCGATCAGTAAGATACATATCAGATAGATGGTTTATAGATACTTAAGCGACGTGATAACAGATATATACAATTTTCGAAAATCAATGAATGTCCGAAAAAGTCTGATATGCTCAGGTTTCGCGTTGTATTTCCATTGAATTAGTTTGAAATGTTTCCTATTGTTATTCAAAATAATTTGATTGAATTGAAAAAATGAAAAGTTTACCGAGAGCCAATAAAATACGGGTTTAAATTTTGTTTATTTTATCTTTACCATCCTGGAACTTTTTACATGTTTTTCTCACTCAAGATGTTTTATGATAAATGATTCAATACAAAGCAACATTTCTTTGAATAATAATTTTGCAGTGTGTCTGTGGTTATATCAGATGTTGTGAGAAGAAACATGCATTTAATAACCTGTTTATGTAAATGTTGTCACTTGTACTATGCACTAACTATTCAGTTAATATTCAACAAAGACATTTTAAAGTGAAACAAACGAGGTAACATTACTATTATTATGCAAATAGTGAAGTATTGCTATGGCTATAGAAAGACCAGGAGGTTTGACTCTGGCCATATTTCATTATGAGAGATTTGTGTCGTCGAATTTTTGTGTCTCGTTTTTTACGTCAACTGCAGTTAGTTCATAGCAGAGAATAACCATCTTGACCTTGCCACGTGCAGTGTTGTATTTCTTAAATGCCATATATTTTTCTCGAAATACCTGTTTTGTCCCTACCGAATGTATCAGAAACCTAGTAAGATAGGAGATTGTGCGTGCGCACTATTTTAGTATTAATGGACTACGTCACGAAGATTGGAGTTTTAACTGATTAATTGAGGATTGTTTAGAAAAGAAAAATTTTAATAGTACATTTTATCTATAGTTATATAAATGATAAATACTTTGAGTAAAAATTATCGCTTACACTAACTATTACAAAACGGAATATACATTTTTTGATGCATTAACCAGCAATCTTGAAAGTTTGGTCACGAGAGTAACAGGCTAACAGTTTGTTTGTTTGTTATGAATTTCGCGAAAAGCTACACGAGGGCTATCTGAGGTTAGCCGTCCCTAATTTAGCAGTGTAAGACT